AAAAAATAATGAATGAAATAAAATGAAAATGAGATAAGTGAAATAAGAAGTGAGATAATGGTGGATACCGTAAAAGAGATAGATATATTTACAAATTGAACATTAAAAAAAAAAAAATTTACAATAAGGGTAAGATATTAAAAGAGATATTAGAAAAAATGAACAATAAAAGGACACCATCATCATAAGCGAAAATACGTGTAAAATAAACACGTAAAAATTTACAAGTAAAAACCAATAGATCACATTTAAAATTATTGTGTAGAAGCAGTGGCAAAAGACATGGAAGGAATTTCTTCTTCAACAATAGGATCCAATAAGAACGAGTTCCTATTACCACGAAGAGAAGCTCTTGAAGATCTACGATTAACTTTTATAGTAGAATTTGGTAAAGGAGGGACATTGAAAATAAGATCCCTGTTTTGATCCAACATGAATTGATCATTTACGCCAGCAGAAGAAGGCATACGACGTGGAAGTAAAGTTGGACTTTCAATAGGACTCGAATCGGTAGAAGAATTACTGCTTGCAGGCAAGAAAGCTGGAGGATAACTTTCAGTAGTGTAAACATGACCTACGTGACCATTGGTTGCATGATGGTTAGCGGAGTAATTGTTAGGGTTATAAGGTGGTTGGTAAGTAGAGTCATAAGCGGTATGATATGAAGAATTATATGTGGTTGCAGGATAAGTATTTTTGTAAGCGTTAGCGAAAGTAGTTTGGTCATTAGAGTTGTAAAGAGGAGACGTATGCATCTTGCTGATTAAAAAAAAAAAAAAAAAAAAGAATAGGTTTGTTTAATGTGATATGCGTTAAAAAGGATCTTTATCAAATATCTGGGTATACTCGTAAAAAAAAAAAAAAAAAAAAATAGTAATAATAATAATTAATAATAATAATATAACAATTATTATTACTATTACTATTTAACTAAATTATCGAAATAAAAAATTCCCAAAGGAAGAAAGAACTTTTTTAAGCGAAATAAAAATTCTTTTATAGGGATAAAAGATGTAAAGAAAGAAACGTGGCTTTGACTTTTTTTCAGGAATAACACGGACTATCACAAAATAAAAAAATCAATGTGGCTTTTTAAAATAAAGGATAACGTGGACGAAAAAGACACAGCCCGTGCATTAAGAAGAGCGAGAAAAATGATAAAGCAGGTAATAAAAATCGTAAATCATCCAGCGGAGGGAAGTAAGGATGATTTAAGATTTTATTAAAATCGGATATTTTTCTTTTTTTTTTTAATGCAGCAAAGACGAATTATTTTTTTTTTAATTTTTTAAAAAGAAAAAAAAAAAAAAAAAAAAAGTTGAGGGGGAAAACACACTTTTTTATAAGTTTTTTTAGTGTGAATAGTTTCCGTAAAGAGTTCCAATTGCGTGGTAAACTCGTAACAAAACAAACAAAAATAAACTTTATGCAATATCGATATGATTCAATATATAAACGTAAAAAAAGAAAAAATTGGATCAGAATCATCGGAAAATCAGCAGCACAAAATATACAAAATATCCACGCGTTAAAAAAAAAATCCAAAAATGGTTACTCCAAGAAGAGTATTTACTTGAAAACTATACATGTTTTATAAAATAATACAAAAATAGTATTAAATATAATATTACATACGTAAGTATATGCGTATAGCTGATATATACTGTAACTCTGACGCCATAACAGCATAATTACAAAAGAATCAAGATTTGTATTGTATTTTTTATTTTATTTTAAACAATCTTTGTCATGATTATGATTTATTTATGCAATGTTCTCTAATATTGCTTCACTATTGCCGTGGGATTTATTGACAAATTCAGACATTTAAAATCTGTCCTCTTTATAAGTTAATAATAATGTTAAACTGCATACATTTAATTTTGTAATAGAACTTGGAATTCGTCATCATCATGTATAAATCATGTATAAATCAGTATAAATCAGTATCGAATTAATACAGAATTAAATATACAGAATTAAATATACAGAATTTAATACGTATACGTACAAGTATATAATTTACTCATAAATAAATGCGTGGGTAATTTTATTATTTATGCATACCGCATATAGTAAAATCAAAGAAATTTCACACTTTTGAATCGTTATAGAACATCCTAAAAGACAAGACTTTCTACAAGAAGAGAACATGTTTGTATAATAAACCCCATACGGAGAAGTAGTAACGTGTATGTCCGAATTTTTTTTTTCTAAAATTCTCAATGCATATGCTAAATATTTCATTTTCATGTCCAAGAAAATACTAAATTGGTTTATTTGTAATTTTCGTATAATTGCTATTTACTGTATAACTATTACAAGTTTTACAAGTTTATCATGATACTATATTTTTAGATTTCATTTTCCGAACTACAGAACTAGTTTTATATCATTTTTTAATTACTACATCATTCTATATCGATATATATACTTATTAACATTTCTATATTCTATTATTTATTATTTTCGAGTTTCATCCATTTTATAACTTTAGCTACCTAAATTTATATATTAACGTTAAGAATTGATCAGGTTTTTTTTTTTTTAAAAAAAAAAACCAACTTTATACTGTAATATAATTGGATCATCAAATGTAAACTGTTTGATTTATCGGGAACGTTTTTTTATTCTCAAATAGGATGGAATATACTTTCCGGATTTTCTTGTTTATTTGGACAAGAACATTTGATAATCACATTTTTTTGATTGGTTTTCGCACTATCGAAAATAAAATTTAAAAGGCATTGACCGTAATCTCTCTTGATTGATGTTAACCAATCGGATGTAGGTCCTAATTTATAATCTTTAACTATTAAAACCCAAATTTTGCTTCTCTAGAAAGTTTGTTAAAGAATTATGCATATATTACTACAATATTAAATTCAATTTTAATTTATTTATTCGGTTGGAATTGTTTATTTTTTAATGAATGTCCGACGACAATTCTCTGCTTCTACGTAGTATACAGAAATTTCCTTTTGATGCTAACACATTTCCCGATCATCATTTCTGATTTTACTGTATCAGCCACCAGACTTTTCACGTTTTTTTAAATTTCTGTTTTTGTCCATTTGTAATTTATTTTGTCACACAACCAAAAAGCAATTAATCGCTCACCTCAATTTTTTTACCTACTATAGTAAAAAAAGATATCTTACGTATTAAATCATGTAAATCATGAGGATATATGATGAAACCACAATCTTATTTTAAATTTCTACGTATTTGTTGTAATCTTTATTTCAAATTTTTTATT